CACTGAAAAAGGGTAATGAAGTTGCCAGGAAGGAAGAGAGCATTTCTTTAGCATGAAGATGAGAAAGTTCTGTGAGATCTGTGACCTTTTCCTGGGCAGGATCACAGGCAGCTGGGATGTGGCCCTCACTGGGATTGGAGTATCTGGGGATCTGTCAATTATTCCATAAAGAGAGAAAAAGATTTCGCCCTGAAAATCAGAAGCTGCCACTTGCATGATAGATTGCAAATCTGCTCCTCTCCCCTGCAGAGCTCAGAGTTTAACACCAGACAGACCTCAGYCTACACAAATGAGWGAAAATATAAAAGTCACCCACCTGCCCTTGAAGAACTTGCTGCTTTTTATTGTGCAGCTCAAGGTATGAATTTCTCCTCTCTGACTGTAACCCTAAAGTCCGTTTATTTTTTTTCACAAAGTTTTTTTTTGCTCTTTGGGGTGGATTTTGTTGAATTTGAGGAGGAGGAGCAYGGCCAGGACTATCTTTGGAGTGAAAGGCATCTGCAGGTTCCCTTCTTTTGGCTTGTGGCCCAAGAGCTTCATTGCTGGCCACAACATTTGCTCCATGAAAGCTGAATAATTCTGGATCAAACTCTGAGAATGAATCTTGGATCTTTGCCTCCTGTTGATTCTTTTCTCCTCCATTGGAATGGAGGTAAAACGAATTCACTGAAAAGTCCCCACTGCYTCCTCCAGAAAGTTGGGATGGTTTTGCTGCCTCAAAAAGTTCTGCTCCCTTTTCTGTGCTTTTCCAATCAGGATCRTACCTTAGGCTGGAATATTTGTCCACAGGCTGTTTTATCCTAATTAAAAAAAACAAACACTGAATTATTTCTGCAYGAATTGTACAAATTCTGTATTATTTCAGTGTGCAAGCAAATGTCCTGCTATRGCCAAATGAATTATTTCAGTGCATTCAGTATGGGATCAGAGCGGGTTTGTCAAATACTTTTAGTAGAAAATTTAGGCAGGGCTTCCTCTTCCTTTTTAATTCTCATCATCAGTAAGGGATAAATTGGTCTAACACTCAGATCACAGTGGGATACAATCATTATCTTAAATCTGGCATAGAAATKTTAAGACTTAGTAGAATCAGCTGAAAGGTGAAATGATGAATTGCATTGTTCTGCTATTTCCTCAAAAATTACACAGTCCACAAAAGGCAGTTGGTGTTATTCCTTCTTCAAAGACTCTGCTGAGTGAAATAAAAGTGAAATTCCTGGTAAAATCAGTCTCTCAAGTGTCCTTTTGAGACTGTCTAAGCAAGAACAGCCTCCAGCTCTGTATTCTTATTTTCTCTTCTCATTCCTATGAAACATCATGATGCTTTGATAAAAACCTCGTTCTATAAGATTTAAAATCACTTTTTTTTTTAAAGCACAAGCTGTGATTGAGGTAAGAGTAGGAAAACATAAATGGGAAATGTCKGTGGGTTTGACAATTGTTTTAACAAGTTATTGCTCTGAATTACATTTGTCATAGAGTAAAAACAGAGGCTCTGCCTTAAAAAATCCACAACTGATCCAATTTCTGATTTAAGATCTGACCCAATGGGAGCAAAACCAACTGCAGGAGTCAAACACACCCAAATATGCTTCCAGGAAATGTACAGGCAGTSGCAGCAGTAAAGAATGGGGGAGAAMAAAGCTTTTAACACTGKTTTTTCTTCCCTGGACCTGCAGTTCAGCCCTGGTTTCTTGGTGAATCTGCTAGAGGGACATTTACAGGCACTGAAAATTKTTCCTATCAAAGAAATCTGCTGGATTCTCCAACCTGTGGCCTAGTTAACGCTATTAACATTTCCAACAATCATTTATTCATCCTTTCTCCATGAGTTCCATGCCTCTGCCTAGATTTCAAGTGGCTCCTAATACCAAAATAATCTGTTTGTCTTTGCTTTTCAAGGTGAGCATCGGGTGCCACGGTATCCTGGAGATGATTTCTCTCATTATTCCCAGCTGGCAGGCGCTGCAGGTAAACAGGACAGTGTGGAGTGAGTGAGTACAGAAATATGTGAGCTAATTGCCATGATTGAAATGGCAGAGTATAATGCTAAAGAGTTCCTTTGTGCCCAAATGCGTGCACAGAACCCGATTGTGGGACTGGGCCCGGGTCACTGCACGGGGACAAAATGAGTGTGAAGAGCTCCTTCATCCCTAATCATCCCCAGAGAAAAAGGGCACCTTTTATTCCTGCCCCYGGCTCGATGGGGAGGTTTAGATGGACTCGGTGCTCCTCAACAAAAGTGTGGTGAGCAGACAGCAGATGCAGCATTTCCTCTTCAAATTCCGAGGTTGGTAATGGATGTAGAGAGGGGATTTCATATGTATGTGCTGTGATATTTGCTCTGCTTAATGGACTGCATTGGAGTACTTACTGGGCTAAGTTCAAACAAAATAAAATCAAATTTCCATTTAATGAAGAGCCTCACATTCAGCGCAGTATTCAGTCCAAAAAAATTACTAAAAATTAGAGCATGTTTCTAGTACAATTAACATCATTTGCACTCACAATAAAATATTCAATAACTGGCCATTTTGCTTGTTGAGGAGGTGAATAAAAGCATGCTATTAATCATTTAGCCTTCATTTGTTTGTCATTTTATTTTAAGTAGACTATTAAATTGAAACTGCACATTGTTATTACTTCGGGTTTAATGTAATCCCTTCAAACTTGAGAATTATTCCCAATTTATCCAGGGTTAAACCTTCCATGCATATGACAGGATATCCAATTTTATTTTGTTGTATTTTGAGTTAATTCTTTCTGAAGGATGTTTAAATGTGGCACTGAGGAACATTAAGGTTTTTAAGTGTTGGAATTATTCTATATTATACTGAAGTTTTTGTCTTACCTTTCACTGCTGTTATTTTTTTGTTTTCCTTTCATTTYTGTGTCATCCTCAGCTTCTTTTTCTTCAGAACTCATCTCCTCCAAGCTGTCCTCTTCCAAGCTGTCATTCTCCAGGCTGTCATCAGGAGCCAGCCCCACCAGCTCCTCATTTTCCAGGATCCTCTGCTGTTGGCTCTGCCTCTCCTTACCCAGGCTCTCAGAGTCGGATTCCTGGGAATCATCAGGGCCRGAGGAAGAGCTCCCTTCCCTTTCCCAGCTCGCAGGGTAGAAAACGGGTGGCACCAGGAYTTTTGGAGGGACGTGGATTCTATTCATGTTGAAAGTGTATGGGGAAGAGACTGGRATGTGTTTCACACTCGAAGAATCCATCCTGGGTTTTGTACTGATGGTTCAAACCAGCCCTGTACTTGGAGAACACAGAAACATAAATCATTGTTCACCTTATAATAATATTTAAAAGCTTCATTTTGGATATTACCATTAGCKTACRATCAGAATTTGACTTTCTGTTGTTMAGAMAACTCTTTATTCTCATCTGTYACACTGATTTTCCCACAAACAGYAATAGCAAGGTCTCCATAYAGCAAATTGAGGACTTACTGCTATGAAATCTCTGCTATTGGTGATAATAAATAATACAGAAACAGCTTAGAACAAAAAAAAATGAAGCTGAGACAAAGCATCTGTTATCTGTTAACTTTTGAGAGTTAAAATGAATTTTGTATGTTGCCTTTGTGCACTTTTATGCCACCTTGTCATGTAAAATCAGCAGGAATATGTGACAGGGAACACAGTGAGAGCTGGGAATCTTCCTAAGTGAGGAGGAGTTTTTTACATTTGGTTGAAGCATTCAGAAGTGACGTGCACTGCCAGACA